GCATCGCTCAAAATGTCTTCATATTGTTCCAGGGGGCGAAGCTCCCGAAAATATGACAAATTAGGGGTGGGTTTCGCTTATTTAATCGCTTTTATAGATATAGTCTACTAATATGCACAAACTTTCATTTTTTCCCCTTCCCGAGGAATTGTGGATTTTTTCTTTTCTGGGGCAGAAAACTGGGGGGAGGGGTAGGGGGAAAGAAAATTATCTGGGGGAAATTTCCCTTCCCCCACCCCCGCCAGCGCCATCACCGCCAGACGCCGATTTTTTTTCTAATGAGTTCATAAATCAGGATGTAAAAAAGGGCAAAAGACGGACACGAAAGATTTCATTTCATTTCATTCTGGTTTATTATTAAAAACAACAAAAATTGACATCGCAATATTGGACTGAATTGCGTCAATCTGACAAAATTAAGCAAAGACAAACAACATGGATGGGTTTTCAGCCATTATTACGGAATGTAGTCTAGGCCCAGCTAGAATACAGTAGTTATTAAGACATCATGCTTGAAAATGACTTTACAAAAATTGATGCTTTTTTCCTATTTTGTTTATTTTAGGTGAGATTTTTTTTATACATTGTTTTGCGAACTTATTTTTTTAAAGATCGTCAGAGGTGGGGGGGGGGGTGGAAAAAATAAATAAAAATGAGTTTTCTTATATTTAGCAAATGGTTTGGCCAAACACACCCAGACGGAGAATAAAATGAAAATAAAATTGTATTGTTGAATGTAAACAGTGTAGTAATGGAATGAATATACATAGGCCTATCTTATTTTTTTTGAGATTTCAAGGCGGCGGCGGACGTAAAAAAATTTTTTTTTTAATGAATTCCAGTTTCTTCGTGGCGGCGGGTGTGCTAAGTGACAAAAAATAAATTTTAACGGGTGACGGGTTTGCTAAACAACGCATAAAATAATTCTCGCCTTAAATATAATGTGAACCAAGTTGATCCGGCGGGCACACACCTTTCACAATTTCTCCTCTCGGACTGTGAGTCAGGTTTAGAGCTTTGCATAGAATAGACTATAGGTCCTCGATTAGACCTTCGAGACGCTCGTAAGGTAAGGGGAGGGGTGTCTAGGGGAGGGGTGCATCGGGAAAAGAGCGCCTCTGTTAACAAACATGAGAGATTATTTTAAGTCAGAGAAAGAATGGTGTTTTTATTTGTTCCGTGGACAGTAGCCTAAAGGGCCTTTTAAGATCAGCATGATGGATATAAATAGATATTTCTCCGGAATATCATCCCACCCTACCTCCCCTACCAATCTCACTCTGTAGATCTCATTTGTGCCAAATAGTATCCATTGCTACAATTCATATGCAATTGTAAAGAAATCGCTTTGGTTTTTAAAAGTTTTAAAAAACATCGTATAGGCTATTTAATATTGACCAAAATCTTTGCTTATTTTCTCTGGTTTAATGTTTGTTTTATTAACATTAGAAAGTGTAATGTGGTATATATGTAAATTTGTTTGAACTTTTGAATCCTGCAGACTACTTCGATTTTCTGTTTATATTTTATTAAATATAACAGGAAATAAAGTATTCTTCAGTCTGAATCTATTTTTGTTCACGTCCCACATGGCGCTTAGACAAGGATTTGCGCCCTCTACATACAGAGTCGATAATCTTGATTATTTACAATTGCGCATGCGTTCATCTCCCTAAGCGTCACTTACCTACTGATATACGGAAGTATTTATAAATATTATCGGATTAGTTTTTCTGAATTTACCATAACAATGTCAGATGTAAAACAAGAAATAGTACCTGCAACTGCAGACCCAAAGAACGTTCAAGACTTAACACAATTTGTAAGTTTTCAAAGCAATAATGGCGCCGCGTATTTATCCTGTTTTGCTGTCAGCTAGGCTAGCTAGGCTAGCTAGCCTATGTATCGGCCTAGCAGGCCTACTGTAGTACTACTAGTACTACTGTAACTAGCCTAGGGCCAGCCCAACAACAGTTTACTGACGCGGGACATTTCCCTTTGAATGGTCTTCATAAGCCTAGCCAGGGCCTGTTGGGCCCTGCCCTGACCCTTAGCATCCCATCGGACAATGTCTGTGTTTATGTACAACTACGTCTTTATACATTGCCGTGTGTGCTGGTTGGTATAAATAGGGTGCGTGTGCTGATTGATTAGGCAATTAGTTCAGACAATGTTTTATTTATTTGGATTCATTGAAAGGTGTTACATACTATTTAGCCTAGGCCCATATCCATGGTGCAAGTCACAAGTGTAATGAAATTGAATGAATAAATTTTCTTTTCGATAGCCAATTGATTTTTTTTTCTCATTGTAGGTACAACAACTTTTACAGCAGATGCAAGATAGGTTCCAAAATATGTCTGACCAAATCATCACAAGAAATATCCTTTTTTTTTTTAACATACTGTATTTGATAAATGATTCTATTTGTGATTAGTTTGTTCATGTATGTCTTTTATTATAAATCTTAAATCTGAATTCTGAGTAATGAATAAATGAATACTGTAGGGGCTCTCAAAAATAATCACGATCATACAGCTTAGGAAATAACAACTTTTTATAATACACATATTAAATTTACAAATAGGTAACAACAATACAGAAAAATGACTGCAGTACAATATTTTAAGTGAAATTATGATGTAAAATGATAATTATATATTTATGTAATAGCAAAAGATTAAAATATTGTCTTACTAAAGATGCAATATTGAATTAAAAAGTGATTTATCATCACTGGTGTATCAGAGTAGAAATTATACACCTAATTATATACCTATATATATAACCTGGCAACTACCACTGGGGAACATCCGGAGGCCTGGGCATTTCACTCTACGTAGTTACCAGTGTGTGTGCAGTGCTCTATTTGCTACTAAAGTAGCTAGCTGCCTAGGCCAGGCCAGGCCGCTGGATGTCCCCAGGGCAAAGTTGCAAGACGTTGGCGGCGCTGATTCAAAATAGACCCCACATAATGCTACATTCACATCAAGCCCAGATCCGGCCCGGACAAAAAATCGTGAGTTGCTACGTTTTTTGAACGCTTAACATCGCGCAGGGAACACGGTTGTTCGGGTTAAGTACGTATGCGTTCGATTGGTTCAGAACCAACCAAGCTTTTTGATGATTGGTCCAAAAAAAAAAGAACATACGATTTCAAGAATACAAATGGCTCTTAGATCCATCGGTCTGGATCCGGGGTCTGGATTGGAAATCGGACGAATTTGATGTGAACGGTCCTATTCTTTACCATTGAACCCATTTTTCACAATTTTTTCTTGGGACTCCGGACCAGAATCCGGGCATGATGTGAAAGTAGCTTTATGGTGTATACATTATTAAAATTTTATCTTCATTCTTTTTATCAACAGGCATCAAATTATTAACATGATCATCATAATTACACTACAGTATTCATCAGGTATTCTGGTCATACCAACCTTATTGGATATCTATACCTGTATTTTCCTTTCTGAACTTCTGGTTTCCTTTACTAAGAAATACTAGATGACATGGGGTCAAGAATTGATGATTTGGAGAAGAACATTGCTGACTTGATGACTCAGGCTGGTGTAGATGAACCCGAGAAATAGCATGGTCGCTAAGCAACAGGCTGCTTGCTTTTTTTCTTTCATATGTGGTCCAGATTGTTTTTGTCTTAAGTTCAACAACTTCTTTTTGTCAGTGAAGCAGTGTAGTCAAAATGTGCCAAAGTGTTGCAGTTAATGTTTTCTTTTTTTAATGTACACAATTTTTTTTATTTAAAAGACAAATGCTCACTGTAGATGTGCACTGTCACAAACAGTTGAATGCCTTGGCAGATTGTAGTAAGCGTTACAATGTAGTTGGGTCAGTATTTGTGGCCTGTCAAGCCCTGCAGTCAAGATGGGACCAAGGTACCACAAGTGTATTGGCCAGCTGCCTGTCTACATTTGGCTCCCAGCCTCTTAAGTAAAATGTCTCAAGCCATGTACGCACAGCGCCAATGGTTGTTGGCAATTGCGATTCCAGAGAGTGCTAGTGACGAGGTATGCGCATAAGGGTCATTTTTAATGATAAATTGGACATACTGCTACCGACAATTAGCAGACAGCGATGCATCCTCAAGCGCACAGAGATGAATTTTTTTATGATAGAGTGCGTGCCCAGTTTCACTCAATGGTGCTAAAGATTGTTGGTTGATCAAAATTCATCATTGATGTTTATTATTACGTATGTATTATTACATAATATGTTTATAATACATGGTGCATCATAAATTCTGTTTCACGAAAAAGAAGTGGGTTACATGGAAAGGTCATGGCTACTTAACATCATCAAAGAAAACCACTTTTTATAAAAAATATATTGATAGAAACTCTCCTGTCAAAGTAACATGATGACCTTTTTTAGAGTAAATTTGGCACATTAAATTTCCTACCAGTATGTTCAGTGAGTATTGTTAAAACATACTTCAATAAAATGTATAGGTTCTTCAATGTCTTTTAAATTGAATGGAAAGATACTCAATAATGTTAATACCAGTACCATTATTTTACAAGTCTGTAATGCATTTATTCGAAAATTTATCAGAGGCAATTTAATGTGGAATTAGTATATAATAATTTAATATTGTATGTAAATGAAAAAGATACCGCAATGGTATATATGGTTTCTTTTTACTGACCAGAGTCACTGTTGGTTAGTGTTGGAAAACCAAAGAAAGCATAGTTATATGTATGTATGTATGTGTGTGTGTGTATATATATGTATGTATATATGTATAGTACTGTAGCTACTGTATGTCTATGCTAATGAAATTATGAGGTTACTGATTCCTTCTTTCCGTGATCCTTAGATGTTAAAGGACGCTGTATCATGGTTAGCGCCATACAAGACAGGTTAACAGTGCGACCCCACAGTGATACTTCTCGGTCCAAATTTAACTGTAGGAGCATTAATCAAGAGGTTGAAAAAGTCACTCATTTTTGCAACAATTTCAGTTACACTATAAGCAAAATTACAATGGAACGTTACGCTAAACCCTGCCCCTTTTTTCCTAAGGTCCAACAACCAAACATAGAGAAATATGACTCGGGTTGTGGTTTGGTCTCGCCTATTGAAGAACATGTTCTGATTGTTCGGTTATGTTACACTGACACACGGGACGTCCATTGTTTTACTAGAACTTTTTGTTCTGGCTGTAATCATGTTGAGTAGTTGATGAAGTAATTAAATGCACACAATTATTATTTTGTAATTGTATAGTTCTTATTTCCAATTATAATGGATACAGTCTATGAACTGTTATTGAGGATGTATAGTTACACAGTCAGGTTGTATAATGCATTCAAATCCATTAATTATTTCCCAAACAGATAAACCAGTGATATCGAACTTGAGGTGCGAGGTTCAATCGGAGTTGTTCCTTTTTAATCAAAACAACGTACCTTTTGTTTTCTTGTGTTTCCACAACTTAAAACTTTAAACCATTTTAGTCGACACTTCCTCTAAAAATAATGGTACGGTCTGCTTATTTAAAGATCTGAGTTTTCTAGATCTATTCAACTCACATATCTGAGTTTTCTAGACACCCGTGTTTGCTTAGGTATGCACCGACGAAAACAGCAAAAGCATTTGTAACACAGTGCTGGATTTCAAGGTTACATAGGCCTATGCAAATACATACTTTATAACTTTCATAAACAGTCAATAATAATAATAATTATTATTATTATTATTATTATTATTGGAAAGACGTTTTTTTCGAATATTAATATATAATGGGAAAACAAAAATAAAACATTTGGAGTCATAAACAGATTGTGTAATAATAGAAATATAAATAAAAAAAATGTTTGTGTAGATTTCACTTTTTACTGTTTTTGATTCATGTATTATCACCTGAATAAATATATTCTGCCATTAACCGATACATTGTTGATGATCATTATTTAGAATGGCCGTAAACAAGGAGGTCAAATTTAATACCTCCTTGCCGTAAATAATAGGACAGGGGCGTACGGTGAAAAATCTAAGGGGGGATCGAAACGAAAGCGCAGGGTTGCTAGCTGAACTCGGAGCAATTTAGCGAAGCTTTCAGAATTCGCGGGGTGCGTTATTTGTGAGTGAAGCGAGCATATTTAAAGGGCACTTTCTTTAAAAGTGGGGGTTGACCGCACCCATCGACCCCCCACGGAACGCCCTTTTTCTTAGTTAAACAGGGGTTTCAGCAAGGACTGTACATTACTGCCATTAGGCGGGACTTTTTTTTTTATACCTTATTGGTGATTTCGAATAAAACTGAAACTTTATTTTGGCCAATTAACGCACCCGCCGCACGAAAAATGGAAATTTCAGAAAAGAGACAAAATACTGTGACATGAATTACAGGTAATATTACAGGTAATGTTGTATCAACTTTCACTAGGGTCATTCAATGCCAAATTATAGGTATACAGTTTAGCAGTAACTAGAGATGGTGATACATTTTTTTACATCTTGTTTAGCGAACCTGCCAACTGCAAATATTGATGTTTTCGAATAAAAGTAAAATTTTATTTTTGGCCAATCAGCGCACCCACCACCACGAAAAAGTGTAAATTTCAGAAAAAGTAAAAGTTTCTCTTTATTTTTATTACGCCCTCCGCTGCCTTGAAATTTCCGAAGATAAGATATGTATATTTCTTCCAAATTATATAAATTTGAAGCATTTAACCATCCCAACTTTCATTCACCAATAACATTTTATTTTTATTTTCTCCTCCATTTGGGTGTTTTGGCAAAACTATTTGCTAAATAAGAAAACAAAATGTTATTTTTATTCCGCCCTCCTCCGATGATCTTTAAAAAAATAAGTACACAAAACAAGGAATAGAAAAAGTCTCGCCTTACCGCTAATATGGGCCTTAGGACATGTCGCATGTTAAGGATGTGTTCTTAAGGTCGTGAGTTCGAATTGCATCTAGGTATTCAATTTTGTTTTTTCCAATTTTAGGATTTTTTTCCAATTTTAAGGAAACCTAAATTTTTTTTTTTTAAACGTTCTAAATAATTTTTCTTGTACAAATAAACCTAATTATTTAAAAATGTCTATCTTATTAGCTCTCCCAAAAAAAAAAAAAAAAAAAAAAAAAAAAAAAAAAAAAAAACCATATGAATATTAACTTGCGCCTGTACCGTATTTAAGTGTGGAGACACTTTGACACCATAAATATCCCTATCGATAAAAACATAAAAATTGAGGTCAAAGTTCACAGAGGTCAAATTAGATTACCAGTAACTGGGATTTTTTATCCCCACATGTTGTACTATCACCATGCCAAAGAGTAAATTTGTATCCGCACTATAATATCATTTCCCCTTAGGGACCGGACTACTAGAATCTTTTGTTGTAGATGGAATAGGAACTGTACCAGTACATCTTTTCTACAGGCCTACTTCTGTTTCTATATACGGTACATATATAAATATATATATGCCTATATATTCATATATATATTATGGTGGCCATCTTTAAAATAATGTTTTATTCACTATTGATTAAGTCAAATTCTAAATAGTTAAAATGTATTCTGTTACCCTTGTAATTAAAAAAAAAAAAAAAAAAACATTTAAAGTACAATATAAAATGCGAGATTTATAATACAATGAAGAGCAGGCACCATTTTGTTAGCCATCTTAGAAAATTACACTATGGTTGTCAAATTTTGTAAGACTTAATTTTAATCATTTATAACATATATTACTACCTAAAACTACCTTGAATTTACACAGAACCCCATATTTTATTCCAATATATCGGATTTTAATTAAATTGACACTATGACCTTTGACCTCCCTATTTTCCATGTTCGGGTAATTTTAAAATGTGACAACCCCCCTAAAGAGCATATAAGATAAAATTTAGTACAGTTTCCATCCATTACGAAACACTACTGGCTAAGTCAATTTTTAGACCTTTTTCATAATCGACGCTGGTCTATATAGGTTATTTGGGGAAAACAATAAAAAAAAATCTACTCATCACATCGTTGACAATGAACTATTGTAGTAAATCAAATATATGTATTTTTGCTTTGTCTATGAATTACGCACTAAAGACCTCACTAATTAATCGGCGGCGATCCGTACAGTACCGTATGGGAGCATCCAAAATGTATTCCGTGGACTGCGAAAGCATTTAGTTATTGGTCAAGCAGGACGGCCCAAATCACATTTATTAAAATGCCACTACAAAATAGCACTCTCAATAAAAAAAAAAAAAAAACCAAAAAGAAAACGAAAAGTTTTCATTGTTCCTTTGTCTACCATGACAGAAGGTAAAATTTACATGTTTAAAACTTCATGTTTGTGAAATTGGATAAAATAATGCATTTTTAGCAAATCGAAAATGATCGCACTCACAATTTCCGGTCTTTCTAACAAAACCAAAATAGTCACGTCACTCAACAGCGGGAAATCCGTTAGTACAGATAGTGTAATACTATGTATAGGTGTAATTGTGCCCTACCTGACGTGGACATGTACCGAATACTCAGCACATTTGAAAACAACTGCGAAAAAAATCGCAAGTTGTTCTCGGGTGGGACTCGATCCCACGATCTCCAGATCACTAGCCTGGCATCATACCTCTAGACCACCGAGCTTGCGCCTGATGGCCAAAAGTGAATTCGAGTCCAAGTAAGCAGCGGGTACTGCAGTGTTGATAGTAATTGTTACTGTCGTGATGGAATAATAGACAATAACTGGGTTTGCGTCAGGAGAAACATGTATAGGTGTAATTTTGCCCTACCTGACGTATAATACTGTAAATATTTTGTAATAATTAGAAAAATCTTATCATGGGAAAACAAAAGCAAAACAGTGCATGAACTATAAGACAATAGAAGACAAAAACAAAACGATTAATTAAAAATATAATCCCTAATGAACTATTCAATTAAAGGCAAAGCAGTGGCGTCACGCTAGGACGCTGACGGGGGAAGGAGCGCCAGGGCCCCGACATTGTAGTTTATGAAAAATATAATATGAACTATAATACCATAGTTTCATTCAATGGGGCTCGAAAGTTGTGAACAATAAAAACTGGGTTCTGATGTTTGACACTTGTTTCTGATTTTGTGATGAATCTGCTTTGCACTGCAGCCTATATACATTATTAAAACATGTTCTGATTCTCACTAAAATATTCTTTATATTTACACCTACATAGAGTACAGGCCTACCTGTAGGCCTATACCAGTTCCGAAAGTTGGCCTATGTAATCTATGTTGGTTTTTTCATAAAAGTGTCTGAAATATTTCATCAGTCATGGACCATTCTATGTTCTCGGACAACGCAGTCAACAGTTCATAAAAGCCTAAGCTCTGAGCTAGAGGGGCATTTGAATTACAATGGCACACAAACCAGGGGCGGATCCAGAGATGGGGGGCCCGAAAGTTGGGCCGATCGAGACAACACTGTACTAGGGGGTCCGGGGCATGCCCTCGCGAAATTTGTGTGTTCTAGACGCCCGAAAATAACATTTAAGGCGTTCTGGGCTATCATTTTTTTTTTCCCAAAAGGGGCCGGGGCCGGCCCGCTCCCCCCCCCCCTAAATCCGCCCCTGCAAACACATCAGCTCAAGGGCGAGGCAGCATCCTGCTTTCGTTAGTGTCCAAGTGGTTATTTTTTACATTCATGAGACCAATATCAAGCCAATAAGATTCAGTTTCGAGCGTATTGACTTAACTTATTATCAAAGCCAATTCAAATCCAGTAACTCATCCTGACCAGAGGTTTACAAAACCAATGATCAACGAAGGAAAAATAAAAAAAAAAACATACTGAAAGAATAAAATTGAACAAATATTTCGATTATTCTTCATTATCAAGCAAAAATAACGTGTCGGCATTACTCTTTCGCAATGTTTCCGTGTTTCCGGACAGCGAATATTTTCCTAGAGTAGCCTCTGTCCGATCATGTGAATGTGATTTTCCTTAAGATAAACCTAGATGGAGGCTTCCTAGCAGACGATAACGAGACTAACGGGTCTGCTAAAAATGTGACTGCTAAAGTCTGCACAAACAACATAAGAATATTGCCAAACAGAAGAAAAAGTCGAGTCGGAATCAGTTCTAAATAAATGTCACAGAGTGGGAACCATGGATTGATATTCACAATTATGAATACTTAATTAATGAAAACTGTACGTGTCTCTACAACGATGGAACCCCCGAGACATATATTCTTATTAAATCTAGTTAATACGCTCCGGAAAATGCGATACTCGGCAGATCATTCGTGACACATGGGGTGGAATATCTGAGACACAACATGTGCGCCGAAGGCAGATTGGTCCTACAAGCGGGAAAGAGAGAGGAATACGTCACTACCCATTACGTTGCCCATATGTGTCTGAGTTTATTACAGCGGCTCTGAATACCCTCTGTACTGTGTTGTTTAGGCCTATTTAGGCTATGTGATGTCCACAGATGTGGTGCACAAACTTTACGCAGTCGGCATGAAGACGGAGTATGTGCTTAATTATCTTCAATCTCCTCAGAAAATATGAGGGCTGCTAGGTCAACACAGGTGTTAAATATAATATGAAGGCGGTATATCATGCTTCACAAAAAAAAAAAAACAACAAAAAAAACTGAGATATTGTATTGATATATATGCCTTCAATCATCTCCAATCTGATTATTTAGTGATTTAAAAACCATCAAGTTTTGGATCTTGCAACGTGTACTGACATATAACTCTGTCAAAACAAAAGATACCGACCCGACCCTTTTGGAAGGTTAAAAAAAAAAAAAGAAACAAAGAAAAAAGATTATGCCCCCAAACGCCTCAGAGGTTATTTTCGAGCATTTCGGACCCCCTAAGGTAGTGTTATCTCGATCGGCACCACTTTAGCTGTCTCTCCCCCCCCCCCACACACCCTTTCGGACATCGATGGATCCGCTTCTGATCGTCTCGAGCTGCTTGCATATTCTGCCATCATCTAACGCTCACAGGGAGCGGAGTTGAATTCGTCGGCAGACGGTATCGTGCGACGCAGTAAGTGCTCAGTAGACACGATATAAGGCATGACTTGCTACAACTGAGCTACAGTATAAGTCTAAAGGCCAACTCAGACAGCGTCGGCCGACGCAGCCCGACCCGATTTATCGTCGGGGACAGTCTTAAGCCTTCGTGAGAAATATTAAACACGTTCAATATTCTACTACGCGACTGCCCCCGACGCACACCATCGCGTCTGCGTTCAACTCACACAGACCCGACGCGACAACAAATCGCGTCGGGCTGCGTCGGCCGACGCTGTCTGAGTTGTCCTTTAGAAGATATTCGGTCATAGGCATAGAATTATATATCCACACTGCCGTATTAATATAAACTGGAGCATGGAGTAACAGCAATTGTACATGTAGCCATTATTGTTGTCAAGAAAAAAGTGGTCTTTATATGTAGTTGCTCATGCGTTCAACGTTCCTCTTTACACAAAGACAAGGGCGAAATATTATAGTATTGTAATTAGGAACAGATACAGCAACATTTAGGTTGACGTTGGATTGATGATTCAGTTGTTTTTCATTTTGTGGTGGATGTTATTGATTTATGGTCAAACGACTGGAAAGGTGAGCTATAGACTGTTAGTGCCACATTCAACATAACACTTTAACTAGCAATATTTAGGGAATTCGAGTCAACTCAGCACCATTCAACTTGGCCCTAGTGGTGGTGGTGGTAGTAGTAGTGATGGCAATATCAACTATAGATGTGTATAAGAGACAGATCTCTATATGTATTCAATTTCATTGCAATTCATCGTTCGGTTTCAGATCTTTTAGTGCACAAAGTTTTCAGTAACGAGCATTGTAAAATTATGGGGTTTCTGGAAATACAGACATTACGGAGGCTAATAGTACTGGTGTCAATTGTTCTTCTCGGTATCTGGATCTACTTCTATAGTAGTATGAACTCCAGTAATGGCATCACAGATAGAAATCGTAAGCAGTTTACTGATATTCTACTAGCATGGTCGACCTTGAAGCTGGATGATTCAGATCCTGCCGGGAACCTAAAAACGCTGAACGAGTTCAGGGCAGTATTGTCCAACGATGATTACCGCCAACGTCGATTCAAGGAGAAGATTGTGGACACTTTGTATAGGTCATACAGTAATCTACTAACAAATAGGTTCGGGAGCGAACGAGGCAGCTTTAACAGCTGGAAAGATTTCGTTAGAAACATTACCTACGTTTTCAACTATCCAGACTTTTGCACTGATGAGAATCAGTTGCCGGTAAATGTATTCCTCTTGAACGTTGTTGTATCACGTGACTCAGAGCTTAGCAGACGACAACTTATACGGAATACTTGGGGAAGATGTGAAGTTTCAGGATATGACATAAAAACTATATTTATAATTGGTAACTCTGAGGATTCGAAAGTTACCGACGCCGTTTTTCAGGAATCACTCGATTTTGGCGACACGGTTCAGGTAGGTATTATCGAATCTGACATACTGGAACCGTTGAAAATACAAATTGGGTTGGAATGGATGCAGCGATATTGTCCAGAAGCGGCATATATACTACTTGGACATGATGATGAAATAGTGAATATTCATAAGGTCGTTGAGTATCTTTCATCCGTGAAGAATACGCCATTCTATGGAAACACTGAGGACCGAAATCCAACTACATTTCATGGTGTGAATATTATATCAGCAAACCTGGTAAAACAGACTATAAACTCGTTTTTTGAAGCCAGTAGCCCTGTATACATTTGGAAGGACGGCCTCATAGACAGAGCCATGACTGAAATGGGCTTTCCGTCGATATATATACACAGTTATGTTTTTAATTCAGAGAAAAGTGATTGGAAGAATCTTTCGAATACCTTGGTTGTGTATAACGCAACAAGTGTAAGCGATAAACTTGACGTATGGAAAACAATTAATAAAGGGAAATGCTTATACGATGCAGAAGCCTAATAGAAATACAGCCAAAGGACAACTGGCTTATCATAATAAGAGTATGAAAGTGCTTATTGTATTAAAGTGCGTTACCCATAATCTCCCCCCCCCCCACCTCTCTCCCTCTCTATGGCCAGGTGGCGCCAAGTTGCACTGCTGTGGCCTTCACAAGAGCACACCATCTTCTTCTGCCTGGTGCCAAATATCATCAATTAAAGATGTTGATGGACGTCAACTTCCACGATGGCCTTCCACAGCTCCCTGAAAAATTTGCTTTTCAATTCCACCATCCTTTCTTACAATGCCATAATCATGCCAATGTTATTACAATTATTTATATTAATATAAGAAATGAGAAAAAGTATTGTGATTTATATGAATTGAGATGATAATATGACATAGTGAAAATATTTAAGAAATGAATGAATGAACAAATTAATAATAAGCCTAATAATAATGATTAGTGATAGGCCTCTTAGGCCTAATCCCTTTTTCTTAGGCCTAATCCCTTTTTTTGCTTTATTTTTTAGCTTTTTGTAATTTTTCTACTTTGTTTTATTTCATGAATTTTTTTTTAAATTTATTTAGCGTTTCGTGTCTTTTTTAGTGATGTTATTGTACTGTGTTTTCTTTGTCTATTTTTCAACTTCAATTTTTATGATAAAATTGCAATAAAGCTTCTCGTATCTCAAAACAGTAGTGGTGGTGGTGGTAGTAGTAGTGATGGCAATATCAACTATAGTTATTAATATTATTGTAATTATTGTTATTATTATTATTAGGAAACTGTATCAAATGTATATTAAGGTGATAAGAAATGAGAAAAAAAATATGTGATTTATATGATTTGAGATGATAATAATGTAAAAATGAAAAAAAAAATGATGAAAAATAGTATTTTCAATTAAATTGGAATTAAGGAGAACTTTCCACACAAAAGGAAAGAAAACAACAAAACTTAATTTGGAGAAGAGAAAGCGGTCATTACACTATACTTGTTATCTTTCTCAATGATGTTCATCCAATTTGAATTCTAATGTTACTTTTTTTATTTATAATAATGTGATGATGTATCATGAATCAATGAAAAGAAAAAAATACATTTATGTATATGGTACTATGATAATGATAAAAGGGAAAAAATACGTATGCAACGACTCAATTTTTTTATGTACTATACATTTTTGTAAATGCATAATTTTAGCCTTTGGCTACTTTTTGTATTATTTTTATACCAGAATAAAAAAAAATAAAATAAACACACATAACCTACTAGTATTTACTGTAGGCCTAATAAGAATGAGGAAGTTTAGCTGACCGTTTTCAAGAGGTGGAAAACCTTAAAATTTTTAAGAATTTAAAGATGTACTGTCCCTTGCTAATGTAAAAAAAATCATAAGAAATCATTTCGAAATAAACTTGCTCATACTGCAATAGCATACAAATTATTAACTTTTGCATAAAAATTATTGAATTTAAAAAATGTGTACCCTAATTATAATAAAAATAATAAAACACTTCCCGTGACTGAAAGTGTTTCTATCATTTCGCTGTAAACTGATGGGTAGAATTTTTTTAAATACACTAATTACTATGTTCATGTTGATAACTTTTATATTACTTCAAAATGGGCAAGTTAATTTTTTTTTAAATATGTTTATGATTTTTTTTGTTATTTAGCATGGGACAATATACATCTTTAAAAGTCATTTAAAGACACCTCAGAAGTAGGGAAAGTTCCGCCATCTAGGAATCGGAATTTTCTCGGGGAAGGACCCCCAGACCCCCCTTTCTTTTTGGGGGTTTTTCTGAAAAAATGTTACCCCCTAAACCCAGATCCGCCCCTGTATTCCTAGATCGGAGGAGGGCGGGGGATATGTATGACTTTAAAATTTGTACTTTCCTCTTTTATGAAAAAACATAACCCCCACCTCCTCGACATTGTAATCTTCAATACGGTGAACCATGACATACTTTTAAACAGACTAGAATTGTATGGTATGAGCAAAATATGCAATAAAATGGGACGAAAGCTATTTGTCCGAATAAACCCAATTTACTCAAATTGATGATAGCAAATCCGAATCCCAAGTTATCATATGCGATGTTCCACAAAGATCTTATCAGCCCCTTGCTTTTCTCATTTATATTAATGATCTTCCAATTGTAATAAATAAATGCAAAGTTAGTATGTATGCTTTTGACACGGTCGTACATTACGCGGCTAAAACTGAAAATGAAATAATGGAAACGTTAAACCAAAATCTTGAACAAATTTCTTCTTGGCTAAAGTCAAATAAATTGAGTCTAAATATAGCAAAATTTCAATTCATGGTACTGGGTTCGAGGCAGAGACTTGCTCATACTTAGCGACAGTAATTCCTCAGTTCAGATAAATGCCGACCCTGTTACGAGAGTACATAATGCTAAGGATTTAGGAGTAATTATTGATGAGACTCTTACATGGGAATGTCATATTACACGCACTAGAGAGAAAGCCTTAAAAGGACATATGATGTCGAAAATTGTTCCCAAAACATGTACAGTACTTCTTAACATTTCTAATGCAATCATAATATCTCATTCTTTGTGAATTTTATTCTGTGTGTATATATTTTGTATAATTATATCCTGCTGTAAATTTTGCATTTTCGAGATAAAATAAAGTTTTGAATGAATAAATCGACAGATCTTAATTTTCAAAAGGCCGTGACCGAAAAAAAGTAGATATTGCGCAAATTGACATTCATTTAAAATTGTTCTCATTGCTATTTTCTGCAACGTAACGAGGGATAGGGTTGAATTTCTTCTGTGCAAGAGCATAATAGAGCTCAGTCGGTAGAGCCACTGATTGAACGCTGAACCGTAGACATTATTTAGTAGCCTACCCGGTTGAGTTCCATCTGCTGCTTGCTCTCCTTGTATTTCAGCTAGCAGGCTGATATACAAGTACACAAAAGCACACCGACTTTCGGATGAGATGTTTAAGCCGTTGCAACACATTGGTACCATGTGCAACACGACTCAAGCAGTTAAAGAACGGAGTGGGCTACGTACTCTTTTGAAAAAAACCACAGAGGATTGTCTTCCGCGGAGTATTGCCCAAATATTCAATCAATCAATCGTTCCATTTTCATGGCAAAAAAATATATTAAAATTTATTAAAATATATTAAAACATTGGTTACCGAATAAATCCAATCAAATAAAATTCAACAAAAAAAAGTCAGCAAACATATATTAGGAATAACTACGTCGCCCTCTAAGAAAAAAATATATATATTCAGAGATGCAATCAAGAATACAGTGTATAGAGTATGAGTTTATAGAATTTAACACCAACTATATATATTTTTGGAAGAATTTCACCTAGTCTTTATATTTATCTAGTCTTTATATTTATTTTACAATATTATAGTATTCTTCAATATAGACAAAAATTATAGTTCTGCTCACGGCAATACTGAATAAATGGTTTGGTTAAAAAGTATCTTGTACCGATAGTTGTCAATTATCCTGGACTTCCAAATTCCATCTATTGATTCATTGTTTTTCATTCGTTCTTATCTTGCTTTTACTGGATGAATACTTATTTTTATTAATAGGGCCCAATATTACTAAACCGCGCAAAGGCTTTACTTATGTAAAATGCATCACTCATATAGATTTACACTTCGATTAGAATTACAAAATATAACTATTTTCATGGTCTCACTGAAGTTGGTTTAACCCCGAGCAGGGCCTATCCGGTAGGATGAATCGATGGGCTTATGACTAGGCATGACATAATACGCAATTAACACAAATAAAATATTTATTAAATAATATCTGAAAGTGAAGGAACTGTGGTTTTGGTAATTACGATGCACAACTTAAAAACCGGTCTTGGGTAGAATTCTGGCAATACTGCAATTATTTCTTAGTAATTCTTTTGTTAAAAATTTGTTAGTGTTGTTTTTGGATTTTCATTTCTTTTACTCACCTTTGTTGTCCCTTTCAATGCACTAGTGCATGAAACTTCTGGGTTATGCACTTTACAAAACGGCTAATAACACCCATAACAATAAGGAATCTTGCTTATTACGGATCACATAAAATGATTAGTAAGGAAGCAGGCAAGTTTATAAGTATAAGTAAGTAAGTGAGAGTGAGTGAGTGAGTGAGTGAGTGGGGGAGTGAGTGAGTGGGGGAGTAAGTGAGTGGAGGAATGAGAAAGTGAGTGAGTACGGTGAGTGAGTGAGTAGGTAGGTAGGTAAGTAAGTATAAGTAAGTACAGTAAGTAAGGAAATAAGTAGATACGGTAGGTAGTTAAGGGAAGAAGTAAGTATGTAAGTAAGCAAACAAACAATTAATATTTATTACGTAAGTCAAAAGCAAATGAAAAGAAACTGATTAGAGATACAATACCGTATCTGTAAAATATTGATATCATAAAGATATGTTTAACATCAGTTACTGATGAAGAAATAATTTGTTGTTTTTTTTTATCTTATGGTTAGAGTTCATTATTCATTGGCTCTCCATTTATACCAGCTTCCAAGTTTTTAACTGTTTGCTTTAGCATTTCACTACGAGTCTCGGCTGTTGCTGTACCAGTGTGGCCAGAGAGTACAACATTGTCCATCTGTATAAGAGGGTGATCAAGCGGAAGAGGCTCTGGCGCTGTGACATCCAGACCAGCTGCCGAGATCGTGCTATTCTTCAAAGCATCAACTAAAGCATCTGTGTCGACAACATGCCCTAGAGATGAGTTTAATTATATTATTCATAATCCAGGCTAAACAAATACAAATTAGACGTGTCGGGCGTCACTCAAAATCCTTCGAAAGTGGCCTTTAAACAATCTGAACATTTTAGAGGTTTCAAAGGCTTATTGAATCGATTATACATCGAGTCTAGCCTACATGTAGAAAAGCATAATATCTCTCCCCGACGGATGTGGTTTTTCTCCCCGACGAATTGTGGTTCTTCCCGACGGGTGAAAGATCTCTCCCCGACAGGGGCCTCACCCCTGCACCCCCCCCCCCACCTCTGGCGCCACCCCTGGTAGAAAGTCTGACATTGGTTTAGTAGCATTTTCATTCGCAGTTCTTACGTCTGTGTTTTGTTTTCCTCCTTAAAAAGTAGTAGATTAGTAAATTAGACACAGTGGATTATAGTAGCGTCCTCTAAAGTTCAGGTCTATTAAATTGTTAAAAACATAACGTTTAATTAATTTTAGAATCTCTGAAATAACTAGCTTACCTCTTGAAACATTAATAAGTATGGATGTGGGCTTCATTATGGCCAGTTCTTTCTGACCAATGATGTTGGTGGTTTCTGGAGTGAGAGGAACAGCAAGTACAAGAAAGTCCGACTTTTTCAGGAGCTCCTCCAAAGTACTGCAGTATGTTGCATTAACATGTTCTTCATCCAATTCAGATCTGTAAACAATAATATGTAATGTCACAATATATATATATATACAAGAAACCGACATAATCCTCCACTCCAGAAAATCGCTCCTGTTCGACGACGACAAACCATGGGTAAAAAAGGACAACGATGGACTATTCGACGTGACCATGGGCAGCCACGACGGTGCGGAAGTT